ACACTCACTTTTCTATGTGTGTTTATCCAGTTACTGCAGCATTATGTGATAAAGAAAATCAGCATTCTTCCAATGCAAGATTGGGTGTTTTTGATATAGTTCTGCTATACAAGCATAGCGAGGCATCATTGGACCAGACAGAGGACTCTTGTGAAGTTGACTCTTGAAGAATAAGTACACGACAAACAAATATAGAGGTAAGGGCGCATAAATTTATGCAATGAGAACAGCAATAACGTTTATAAGACATAGTTTATTTGGTAATTTTGGACTATGAACCTCACAAAAGAGAATAGTATGAAGGGCTGGAGGTTCGATAAGGGACACATTGTGGAAAGTTTTACAAGCAGTAGAAAGGAGCTTAGACTGCCAGTGGAAGATAGGAAAAGACCAAAAGTTAATGTTTGATGGCTCCATGGGAGGGTAGTTCAGAGACAAGGAGTTAAGACCAACTAGGAGGTCAGAACTAAACTCCAGGTGTATAGCAATCAGAGACCTAGAACTGGAAGAGGAGAAACATCTGGACAGGGGTAAATATGAGGATATAGACTCAGCAGACTTTGTGACTTGACAGGACAGGATTTTAAAAAGACTATGCTTATGGTGTAGGTAATGAGGGGGAGGCATCAGGATCAATGAAGCATAAAACACAGAAAATGGAAATAACTAGAGAAAAGAAGAGATTGGAGCCCATTTCGGGGTACATTGGACATGTTGACCTCTTAAGAGATTTGGGAGGAGTTGATAGTACGAGTGGGAGACATAGACCCACGCTGCCAACTGTAGATGCCTGGGAGGGGTCTCCCACAACCCAAGAAAATTCTATTTGGGTGAAGGTGAGTCAGGATGAAGCATAGTTGGAGTTTATGGAGAAAATGTTTTATCAGGGATTTAAGCACAGGGTTTCAGAGGAGAGGAGAGAGACAGGTGAGCAGAGGAGAGTGCATCTTTAGGGTTTCTGGAGGGAAGCCGGTACCCAGTGTCTTAATAGCTATGCATATGGATAGCTTTTGAAGTTGGTTTGTTCCAAGGATTTGAAAGATGAAATAAAAATGGCTTTCTTATATTTATTTTTAGCTAGGAACTCTTTAGTAGATGAGATTATAAGGTGGCTTGAGGTCTATAGGTTTAGTGAGTAAGAGAAAAGGCTCAAAAGAATCCTTAGTATCTATAGGCCACAGGGAAGCCAAGGCATGTTTCCACTGCAAGCATGATCTGTAATTGTACTTGTGTGAGATTCTTGATTCTCATGCCACAGTGGTGAGTGGCTCCTTTTCTGTGCAATAGCCACTTGATACTGGAGGATACAGGCCCCGAACTTACCGGCAGCTTACATGGATACCCCTCACAGGTTTTATTGTGGAACGGAAAGTTTGGCAGAGAATGTACCGATAGAGATGTTTTAGTGGGAGAAACGCAGAAAGTGCAGAAATGATCTGGCTCCCCTCTGTGTGCGCCACCCTTTGTTCTACCCAGTCTTTGACTCAACGGGCTCTGCCTGGACACCTCCCGAGCCAAGTGCTGGGGACACCATGGGCATCTTTAAGGGCTTACAAACTGGTGTCACTTTGATGTCTTTAGCTAACAATTTATAACTCTTGTTCAGTTTTAAGCATGGAAATAATGGCCAAAAGTGTTCTTATGTAAAATAGGAAAAAATTAATTGGTCCTTACCCAACTTAGAAAAACAAACAACATAGATAATTCAGAGTAATTTTCCCGGTAATTGGAACATCTCTTCTGTTAAGGGACAACAACAGAATGGGAAATTACAGAACGAATTTGGAAACTCAAAGAAATAAGCTGAAGCATAGAACTGTCAAGCCTAGGGCATTTAATAAGTCATAAGAAGCTGGAGGAAGAATGAGAGGACTAGACAAGCTCTGGCCCCTGCCAAGAGGAGGGGGATTGCTTACAGTGGAACAAAACTGCACTCAGAATAAGAATCATCCCAGCTCCCTAGAAAAGGGACATGCACATCCTCTTTAAATGAAGAATGGTCCTCTAGAGAAGTGTCTCTCAACCTGTAGGTCACAACTCTTTTGGGGTCGAATGACCCTTTCACAGGTGTTCCCCAAGATCATTGGAAAACACAGATATGCACATTCATAACAGTAGCAAAGGCAAAATTACAATTATGAAGTAGCAATGAAAAGAATTTTATGGTTGGGGGTCACCACAATATGAGGAACTGTATTAAAGGGTCACAGCATTAGGAAGAGAACCCTGTTTTGGAAGAAATTTCCCCCAAATAATATTTAGAACATAATTTAAAGCTAGTCCTACAAAATAAGAACATTTGAATGACAAAACAGAGGAAATAAAGGGTAATAGAAATAGGCTACAGGGTAAAAACTTGCAGTTGTGTGGGACAAAGAAGTCTAGAGATTCCAAATACAGCACAAAGGCTATAGTTAATCATACTGTATTATAAAATGGAAATTACCAAGCAGATATATTGTAAATACCGTTGTCCTACATGCACGTGTGTACACACTCACAATAACTGTGGGTGATGATGAGTGGATTAGTTTGCTAAATTGTAGTAATCACTTCCACACATCACACACACCACACAACAACACACACACACACACACGTATATATACATACATACAGCATGATATGTAAGAATAAATACAGTAAGAAGTCACTATCACAAATCAAGAGATACCCACTTTGTCATGACAAAGTTGAGTTTACTAGGAGGATATGATACTTCTAATTTCATATATACTAACATAAATTCAAAATATACAAGTTGTAACTAATAGAGAAACTATTACATCTGGTAGGTTTTTATACAACATACTTCTCACAGAAAATGATACAGCAAACAAATAAAAGTCATTCAATACATGGATTTCAACACAATCCATACACTAGACCACAGAAATTTACCATACACTAGCATATAAAACAATTATTAGTAAATTTCTAAGCATTTTTCAAAATTCAAAAAGTTACAAGTAAAATTAAAAGTGTAGGAATATAATTCCCCCAAGTTGATTTACAGAGTTAAATGTCTCAAAAACATTTATAAGAGGATTTGTACACCTGCTCCCCCAGTGTGTGTGTGTATATATATATATGTGTGTGTATTTGTGTGTATATATGTTTGTGTGTATTTGTGTGTATATATCTGTGTATTTGTGTGTATATGTGTGTTTGTGTGTATATGTATTCATGTGTGTTTGTGTTTGCATGTATGCATAGTATTTGTGTGTGCGTGTGTGTGTTTATGTATGTGAATTGACATTTGATTCTTTTTGTTGTTGTTGTTTCTGTTTGGTTTTTTGAGACAGTGTTTCTCTGTCCTGGAACTCACTCTGTAGACCAGGCTGGCCTCGAACTCAGATCTGCCTACCTCTACCTCCTGAGTGCTGGGATTAAAGGCGTGTGCCACAACTGACCGGCTGTGTTATTCCTATTCCTATTCCTATTCCTATTCCTATTCCTATTCCTATTCCTATTCCTATTCCTATTCCTATTCCTATTCCTATTCCTACTCCTACTCCTACTCCTACTCCTACTCCTACTCCTACTCCTACTCCTATTCCTATTCCTACTCCTATTCCTATTCTGATTCTTTGTGACATCTGATTCTAGTGTTTTTATGACAATGCAAATGGTTAAGTAAGGGCATCCAGGATACTCTTGAATGAGAACCAAGTGGAAACCCTTACTATTACAGCTGTGAAGTCTGTAAAGCCACAATAATTAAGATTATGGAATTGGGGCAAGGATGGAAAATCAGGTCAATGAAACAGAAGAGAAAGTACACAAGGATGTCCATTTATTATGAAACTGTCACTGTGGAGTAATAGGAAAGCATGGCCTTTTTAACAAACATATTACGTGAGGCACCTTGGACATCCATATTGAACATAAAGAGAAATTTAAATCCTGACTTAAACTTCAGAACAAATTTATGGGATTAATGAGTTAGAAACATGGGTGGTTAACAGTGAAGCATCCAGAAGATGATGTTAGGGAACAGCATATGACATGGTATAAAGGAAGCGCTTTCACAAGACATGAATGATACACTCACAAGGGCAAAACAGATACACTGGAGCATGTGAGCATTAATACCTTCTACTTATTCAAAGATTCCATGAGTGATATCTTATCTCACAGAATGTAGGTTATTTTGCAATATGTACATAATATGTATCTAAATTATCCAACAAACAGCCACAGATAGGTCAAAACTCTGAAAAGTGGGATTGTCTCATTACAGAATCTTCTGAGGGCAGAGACAGATTGCATTACCACTACACACCTATCAGAATGGGTAACACTCTAAGACTGAGGATGCTAAACATTGATGGGGCTGCGGAGAGACAGGAATCCAAAAAACTGTGTAGGAACATTGTTTAGCATTGTTGGCTACAGTACATCATGACTGATGAAGTTCATTTCTAGGCACATACCCGCAGAAATGCAAGCTGGACACAGAAAGACATGTGTAAGAACATTTGTTATAGAATTATTTATGGTAATGTCTAACTAGGTACAACTTGGAAGTCCACTGATAGTCAAATGAGTAAAAAAACTAGATTCTCTCTATATAATGGAACTTAAAAAGATGAACATGAAAATCACAGTCACAAATGAAAGCATGAGTGTAGCTTGTAAACCAAACATTATACAAGACACAAACAGAAGAAATGAATCCACACAGAGTGAAAAACAAACAAGCAACATCCTGATGTTTAGGGATTAAGCACAGGTGGTAAAACTGCAAAGAAAAGCCAGCAAGTGATTTTTTGAAGGAGAAAAAAGAGACAACAATTGGGGGACACATGTGCCACCTCTAGGGTTCTGGTAATGCCTGTTTCTTGATTTTACATGGGTATGTTTTATGAAAAATTACTGAGTCAAGCACTCTTGTTTTTATGGGCTCATACACGTCTAGCACAAAACACATACCGAGCACATAATCACATACCCACCACATACAAGACGCCTAAAGAACTTGGGGTCACATCTCTCACCCCAGTTTCTTCTTTCTAGCAGAGCGAGATGAAAAGGAGAAGGATGTGAATTTTTCGTAAACATCTCACTTCCTGATTACAGGCATGGTCTCTCTTGTTCTCTTGCAATCATCTCGTTGCCATGGCAACTGCACTCACAAGGAGAGCCTGTGAAGAGAAGGAGAAATGCACAGGTGACAACCTGGATTTCATTACTTCCTTGTGTGAAGAAATCCTTGCTGATAACTGCTGGAGCTCTGAGCCTAAGGTACCCATTAGTAGATAATATGTTTTGGATTTTATTTCCCTTCCTGTAAAAACAACACATAGCCTTTGTTTAAAGACTCACCTTTGCTGCAGGCCACAGTTAATCCCCAAATCACCAGGCAAATATTTCTCGAATTAGATGTTCTGGTGCATCAGAGAAGCAGGAGACAGTTGGTGGGGGCCGGGTCCTACATGCCTTGTGCTTTGGGTAAGGGGTTTGCTGGGGCGCAGGAGGTGTGGGCTGCAGGGAGTGGAACTCCCCTGCCCTGGAATGAGCGATCTGCATGCCTTCCCTGCTTTAGCTCCTTAACCCCAGGCCTTTGGTGTGCGAAGAACTGGAGGAAAGGGTCATAATACTCCAAGGGTGGTCAGCTCCATCGAGTGTGAAATCAAAGACTTCTGAGAGTGAAACAACATATCCCCCCACTCCAAAAAACCCAAAACCAAGTCACCTTAAAAAATCAATCTGGCCTGGTGGTGGTGGCTCAAGCCTTAATCCCAGCACTCGGGAGGCAGAGACAGGTGGATCTCTGTGAGTCGAGGCCAGCCTGGTCTACAAGAGCTAGTCCCAGGACAAGATCCAAAGCCACAGAGAAACCCTGTCTCAAAAAACCAAAAAAAAAAATCAATCTATGAAAGAAATGAGAACAAGATCTGTGGGCCTGCAAATGACTAACAAGTCCAAAGGTCCTCAAACTGAAATCCAGAAGACTTTACCTTTCAACTGTACCTGAAATTCCTTGTGTGATCCCAAAGGATTCTACCTGAGCAACACTCTGATCTGCAAAGGGGTTCAGACCAAGGCTCTCTTTGGACTGGCAGGAAGGTGAGGCACAGGGTAGGCAGGACAGGCCATCTGGACCTCATCTGTTTTGTGCCTGGAACACCGTGCTATGTTTGGTAGATGCGTGACTCTAATATCGAAATTGTTCAGGGCACACTGAGCATGCAGTTTGTTTACCCATGGTGTTCTTGTACTGTTTGAGCGTACACCTTAGACCGAAGGACCAACCACTGAACCTAAGATGGAGCACAATGGGGCAGGAAGGTAGAATCCATGTAGGCTGGGAATAGGAGTTTTAGTTACTTTTCTTATTTTTGTGACCAACTATCTGACAAGGCACAGCTTAAGAGAGGAGACGGTATTCTGAGCTCCAGCTCAGGAGACAGAGTGAGTCACAATGGGAAAGGCATGGCGGTGGAATCAGCTCACAGTTGTTGCTGGAGCCTGCTCATGTCTAAACAGACCAGGAACCGCAAAGGGGAATGCCAGTGGTCTGTTGGCTTTCTCCTTGTTCCTTTTTCATTCAGTCTGAAACCCAGTCCATGAGGTGGTGCCACCTGCATTCGGGGGGGGGGGGTCTTCCATCCTCAGCCAGCCCAGAAGTGTGTCTCAGGTGATTCTGCATCTAGTCAAGTTGGCAATGAAGATTAACCCCACACTAGGGCAGCCTCCAGCCTCCATTGCACCCGTGGAAATCTGGCAGGAGAGGTGTGAGGTGGGAAAACAGGGAGGATGCAGTCAGACAGCATCACATATCCAACAGGACCTCACCTGTAAATGGTCAAGATGAGTGAGGAGAAAAGGAACTCAGAGACGGTGTTGGGCATACAGATCATCTAAAACAAAACAGAAATGGAAAATGTGTCAAGAAACTTATCATTAGCTAAAGGCCACCTTGCAAAATAGTCAAAAGAGAAACCCTGCAGATACTTGTCTCCCGAAAGTGGGGAAGGGACGGGATAGAAGAGAAAATCAAATGCAGACAGACACCAGGCTAACACACTGTCAAGGTGTGTGGTCACGGCACACACCAGCAGCCTGTAATTGGGTGGAGAAGTGAAGGGGTGAGGTCCCCATCTAGCCACAGGGATGTCCTACCTGATGATATGGTCACAGTGGGATCTCCAGAGTGGCTTTGTATGGAGACAGTAGAGAGGGTTAAGAGAAATAAACACTCTTTAGTCTTGATTCTGTGGTGCGTTCCTGGGTATGACTCTTGGCAAGCTTGTGTCCTAAACAATTTCCCCATTGGCAGAGCAGCATAAGCACTAGCAATTCCGATGTGACTTCTTACACTGTGCTCCTTGCAAAATGAACTAGTGTAAGGCCAAGAGCATCTTGAGATTCTCCTGTATGACATCATCTCTGGTACTCACAATGGGTCTTCCAGACAAAACCCAGTGAGTCTAGTTGGGGGAGATGTGGCTATGTCCTTTCCTGAGGCCAAATCATAACCCCTGTGAAGCTAGCTGCTCACAAATGACCCACAGGCATCTTAGATAGGGCCCAGTGAGCAGAAGAGAGTTTTGCTATGTCCTCACTCCTGCCATGTCCTTGATCACTCACTGTTGCAGTGTGTTTTTTTTTTTTTAACATGTGAGTCATTCCTGAACCACTGCATTGTAGGAACATTAAGGACACAGACCTGTGGCTAACCTGCTTTATTACTCCCTAGGTATCTGGAAATAGTAATGTTTTCATTAAACTCTTATCCATAGAGCAAATTCAACTCACATATGCTGTTCATTGGATGGATTCACAGGTACATTTCTAAAGGTCCAGAGAGCTCTCCAGGTAGATGTTATGAAAGCATTGCTGTTAATTGGGCTTTTTGAATGGACAGCTAGATCAGTACTTATACTTGAATAGCTTCAGTCCTGAAGTGAAGAGGCTTGGAACACACTTCTCTGTATTCATATGCACTGCAGGGTGAGTCACTTCTTTTACAAATTGACCCAGTGCTGCGGAGCTGGACAGCCCAGAAGAAAGATACTGCTGTAGGCTTTATGGACCAGAATGCCCTGGGGTCACACACAACACAAACTTAGAGGTCCAAACAGTTTACTGTGAGCTGAATTGCCCCCTGATTGTCTAGTAGGAGGATGGGGTTTGGGGAGGGAAGAACAACGTGAAAGATAGACATTAGGGAAACACACAGGCAGAGCCAGGCAAGGGAGCATCAGAGTGGTGACAACGAAACCGAGAGCTACAAGACATTCTGTCTTCTCTGCGCTCTATCCCTGTCTGCGCAACTCATCCCCAGCGCCCCTCCCCCAGACCTCTGTGAGAATCCAGACCTGCGGTGAACCAGCATGAATGGTGGCTGTAGTACAATGTTGAACTTCCATGTTGCAAATGAGAGGAGAAATAGGTCTTTTTGTGCAGTGTCTATGGCTTCCTGAATCAAAATGGCTTTGAAACAAGCCAAGGCTGAGATACACATAGGCTAGGTGTTCTAGTGACTCTCTCGGTTGCTGTAATAAAATACTGGCCAAAAACACCTTGGGGAGAATGGGTTTATTTTTACATGTACTTGACAATTCATCACTGGGGAAAACCAAAGCAGGAACTCAAGCAGAAACCACAGAGAAATGCTGTTTACTGGCTTGCTCTATATGGTTTGCTTTCTTTTACAGTTCTGAACCATCTGCCAAAGGCTGGCATTGCCCACAGTGGCTGGGCCCTCCTACATCAATCATTGGTCAAGGAAATATCCTACAAAAGCGTCCACAAGCCAATCTGGTGGTGGTGATTCCTCAGTTGGGGTTGTTTCTTCCCAGGTGATTCTATCCCGTGTTAACAAAATCTAACCCTGATGTAAGAGACTGAAGAAGAGCTACCCCAAACTGAAAATATATGTGATGGCATGATAAGTATGTATTCTTATCACACAGCATGGTGAAAGTTTAGAACATTCTCTCCTGAGCTTTCCGAAGGCTCAGAAGATAACCATTCTCAGTCACAATCCACCTGCAACAAAGGGGTCTGGTTATCCTAGAAGTAAGACCATCAAGTAAGACATCATCTGCTATAGAGGATAGCAGAGTTCAGACTCAGAGAAGGAAAGGGAGATGATAGCTTCTCCATCCTTACTGTTCATAGATGCAAATCATCGCTGCCATGTCAAGGCCGAAGGAACATCTTTTCTTTATTTTCTCTTTTTCTTCATAATACGTTTCTTTTTCTTTGGCCTCTGCATTACCAGTTGCATTTATTCATTCCTTGTAAGAGATGACACAGGTATGTGGTCCGCCATGATCCTGAATACACAAAGATGACTAAGAATAAACAGGTAGGGCACTATGTCTAAAAGCCTTGAGTGCTCTGTGGAGAGCGGTGCCAGGTGCTGAGAACTGAGGGAGGGGTGCAGTGTGCCCCATAGCAGGAAGCATTCTTGGCATGCCTGATGTCTGAGATGGATGCTTGGGAGGATGAGCGGTGTTTTCCTGGTGGACAAACAGGAAGAGGAAGCATTTGAAGCAGAGGAACTAGTGCTAACTCATTAATTTGTTCACTCACTTAACTAGCGTCCACTTAGTACATGCTTGGAAACAAGATATGTCCTCACTAGTAAAATAAAAGTTAAAAAAAGAGTTTGTTTTCACCCTTGCATATTTTACAGATTAGTTTGTGATACAGATAAGGAGGAGGAGGAGGGAGAGGAGGAAGAGGAGGAGGAGAGAAACGGAGAAGAAAGAGGGGGAGGAGAAAAAACATCCAGAAACATGTATTGAAATAAACAAGAACAGCGCAGGAGAAAATGGATAGTTCTAGAGCTTTTTCGAGGGCACTAAAATCCTAGTAGAGCTGATGTTGTAAGCTAAGGGAACCGTGTAGCCAGAGCAGAGAACTCTAGGGGAAGGGGGCTGGAGAAGGCACGGTTAGAATCTTGGGTTTTATCCCTTAGGCAGTGGAGAAAGAGCAGTGGAGACTCCGAATAAGCCAGTGCTGGGATCCTGTTCAGGTACAAGGAAACCAGCCGAGAGTAATATGGAACACTTCCACGCAGAAGTGGGAAGCCTGTTTACCATGGCTCTGATGAGTCCTGACGTTTCTCTGTCTCTGCCTCTATCTACCTGCCTCTCTCTCTTTGAGAGAGGGTGGTCTGGAACTATCTCTGTGGATCAAGTTGTCCTCAAACTCAGAGATTCTCCTGCCTTTGCCTCCTAAATGTTGGGATTAAAGATGTGCAGCACCATACCTTGTAAAATGTATAACTCAGGTTGGCCTTGAACTTGTGATCCACTTGCCTAGCTACTGGTCATTTCAGTTCTTTTTTTATTTATTTTTTATATTCATTGGTGTTTTTACCTGTATGCATGTCTGTATGAGACTATTGAATCTCCTAGAACTGGAGTTCTAGACAGTGAGGGGCTGTCATGTGGGTGCTGGGAGTTGAACCCGGGTCCTCTGGAAGAGCAGTAAGTGTTTTTAACCACCGTGCTATCTCTCCAGCCCCATTTCAGCTCTTTATTAAACCAATCATAGCAATAAATCTTCACACAGTGTACAAATATCTCACAACACTCCCACTAGCCTTCCTACTGGGCTCAATGCCCCCCATGTTCTGGGAACACACTGGTCACACTTCTTTCTTGGGATTTTCTGCTTAGGAATCACATGGCTTAAGAAGTTCTTCTGTCACAAAACATTATCTGACTCCTGTATTTAAAATCAAAGTCCTCCTTCTCTGACATGGTGTATCCTCAGGCCCACTTTTTTTTAACCATATCACATCTATAGCAACGAATTTATTAAAATACTTTCTTAACTTAAAAAGTGTTCGTGTTTCCCGGGTATACCTATCACCCTGAAGAAGGCATGCACTACTGGTATTTTGTTTATTGATGCATTCCTGGGCCCAGTATAGAACTCAACATATAACAGGTGTGCAGTACAGGTGTCAATCATACAGTGGCAGGTTTTGCCTGGCACTGACAACATTAAGCAATTTTACTTGTTTTATTTTGAAAGATGAAGTGTATCCATTCGTGTCCGAGCCTTCTGATCGCCATGATATTTCTCTGGCTGCTTGCACATCCCTTGTTCTCTGGGAGTTTCAAACTGTTCTAGTCAGAGCTCCTGCTTTTTTTCGACAAATAGAAATTGAAGGATGGTTTCTCCTGTCACTCACTAACATCTCGCAGTCTATTCCTGGGGGCAGACCTAAATCTCCTTGGTTCTGCTCAAAGAAAGCTTTAAAAGGGCTCCTAGGCCAACATCTTCCAGGCACCCTGGTTCAGTGCCTCCAATGTCACCCTTCGAGGTCCATGCCGGTCTTCCATTTTTTTCTATGCTGAGTGTTGTTCTGTTTTGGGTCCTGGTGCTGTCTGTCAAAGGCTCAGCTGAATGTGTCCTGGGTAGTCACAGGAGCCTATTTCTCCGCACTCACTGGGCTGGTAGATGGTCCACACTTCCTTAGGACTTGTCTCCCTCTGTTCTTCCACTTCAGGAGGAGCTGAGATCCTGTTGACGCACCTCAGTCTACAAAGTCTCTCTTTGTGAGATAGCCTTCCTAGTCAGCTGGTGCTACCATAGTCATGCTCCCTGCCCACGCTGTGCAGTCGCTAGGAAGGATACTCTAACAGGAGTTACACTATCCAGGCCTCTGAGGGCAGAGGAGCTTCCGGGTTGAGTCCTGGCCAACATGGACAGAGGGATAAGTGAGACACACCATTCCCAAGGCCAACACTGCTGACCCTCCATGCCTGCTCATCTCTATCTGTGCCTGGGCGTCTATACGCCACTGATTCTGGAAGCTGCTTGGTGAAGACTGCCCATCTCCGCCTGGGAGTTCCCTGAGTGCCTGGGGACATCCCCAGACTGCAAAACAAAGAAGTAAACATCTATTGTGTTAAGGCACTGAGGATTGAGGATTTGCATATTATAATGGCTAGGGCACCTAGCTAATAGAAGTCTTACAATGCTTCTTCCATAAGCATGTTGAAACCCTCTCTCTTGAGAGTATTGCACACACACGAGGGACACATTCACATCCTCCAGCCCCTCTGCTTCCACACCAAAACCAGTTCTCTGCCACAACAGGGCCCACTTCAGTCTCCTTCCCATCTGCTTCACCTTTGGGGGCAAACAAAATCAAAAAGCAAACAACAGTTCTCTGGGGATCTGGGCTGCGGAAGAGCTGATTGGATCCTGTGAGAGTGAGGGAGCACCAAAACGGACAAGCATCTAGGTTCTCCCTTGGAGGAAGCCTGGAGTGAGCTGTAGGGATGCAAACCTTTTTGTTGAATCCTCAGAGCTTGTCTGCCCTGCGTCTTGGCTGCCTGGCCAAGAGTGGCTTCACCTGTGCTTTGTGTT